TATATAAATTAAATGTCTTGTCTTTCTAAAGCAGACGACGATATTTCGATTCCGGCGGGTGACAGCTTCCAACGGGCAACTCCTTAACTAAAATAGAGTCGACAGCTGACCAAGCAGAATCATCGCTATGATTGTGGTGGCATGGGAGCCTCGAAGCATATTAGTGGAGCGTTCCCACATATGGAGTACAAGAGGAGGCTCGTAAGACTTATTTTTTTGCATTAAATCTTATTTTCTATTAAATATTTACTAACTGTTTCATTACACTGACATACACTAGAGAAAGGATGAGAGCCAATCGCTATAGAGTTACACAAGTGCACTCACTAGCGATAGTTAGATCAGTTCTAGGTGTACGACAAATCCCAGGCGACCCATGCAATTCACAAGATTAATTAGTATAAAATTCAAATAACTATCAAGGTTTATTTAGTTTCTAACTTTCATTAATCATATTTTTTGTAGTAGGCATTCCAGAGGCTCAAGGAGAGTCGATTACAGTAGTTGGACATTGGTTAGAACATATCTCAGGATCCTTCTGAGTATGACTTGTGTAAGGAGGCTATTGGTGGTAAGAAGAAGGGCAGGGTCTACGAGACCCGGCCTATGATGCCTGTCTGACCTCTATCACATCTGGTGCATCTGCTTCCACTGCACAGGAGGAGAAGAATCGTGGCAAGGTTGCTGTTGAGGTGGCTACCCAGGTCTCCACCCACCTAGCCACCCTAAGATCAGAGATGGAGCAGAAGATGATATCAAAGATCGAAGTGGTGTTGTGTTCTGAATTGAAGAGAGAGAAGCAACCAGTTCAATATGATGATAAGAAGTGGATATTGGAAGATGAGTATGGGGTTATTTTTTACGATTGTTTGTGTTAAAAAATTTAGTGGTCCCAAACAATATTTATATTAGATAGTTTTTCATTTCATTTTGGTTAACGCAATTGTTTTTCTTTTATTTCTAAATTTGAATTATACATTAATTAGTTATATTACTGTGTTGTGAAACACTATTTAAACAATTTATTTGTATTGTTAAGATTGTTTGTATATAAATTCTAATGTTGAAGGAGGAGTTTAATCAACTTTTCTGATGCAATACGTTCAAATTACCAATAGTTTTAAGACTTCGATTATGTGTCGAAAGTTTTTGTACGGTCTATGAACAAGCGGTGTTTATACAAAGGGCAACACTTTTTTTATGGAGAAAATCATCGATAATTTCCACAGTTAACTAGCAGTTGAGCTACACTTTATCGACGAAGGTGTGAAACCTTTTTGACAGAAGTACAACGATTGTTACAATAGCTCATAGAACTATCAGTTTTGTAATAAGCTAAACACTTCGACTAAATCATAGCTTGACCATCAATAAAAATATTACCCATGATTTTAATATTATTACCGACGGTATTTGGCTGTTGGTAATAAGCTAAATTTTGTTAGTGAATGATGTCTTTGCTTGGAATGAATTGTCCTTTGATCTAAGAATATTTATAACTTTCTTGTTGGTCTTACACCCTTATAGGCTCTTAGCTATGGTTATGAGGCTATCCGGGGGTCTCCGACTTTCTCGAGGGAGTAGTCCCAATCCTTCTAATATCATCTGATTTATGATATTATTGATTAGCAAGTCAGGAATGTGTTGATCACCTCAGTTTTTTTTTCTAAATATCTTGTATAAATGTGCTTCTTAAAGATTGGTGGGAAGAACGCTTATCTTTTTACAGTGGTGGGTGTTGCTTAAACACTTCGACTCAGGGGTAGAAACTCCTTAGGTCATTCCCATGTCACATGCTGAGAATTTATTTGTCTGAATAGGTGATCATCTTGCAGGAATCCAACCCAACCTATTCTATTATTAAGGATCAGACCATGATGGTTTGAATTTTTAGGGTCTGTTCATAAGCTATGGCGTATGCTTTTTACAAGACTAGATATCCCAGCTAGAATTGACATTCCCTTACCTTTGAATTGTAATGTTTTGTCATTATCCTCTCAGCTTCTTCTTATCATAAGGATTCTTGATCCAGAAGCTCCTCTATAAAATGTAGTGAATCCTTTAAAATTTCATTGTCACCGCTCTTCAACCATCTAGTTTGAACTCTTTGATGTTTAAAGCTGCAAGGAACATTTGGCTAGACATATATTCAATAAAGAGGAGCACTCCAACTTCATGTGAAAGGGGAAGGGTGTTTTCTCTATAACAGTTGTTGGCGTTGTGCAATATTCCCATGAAATCTACAAAAGCACTTTGCTCCACCCTTTTTTGGCTCCTTACAACTTTTTCTTAAGAAAGTTTATAATAAGTTTGTTAGCAGTTTCTACATGACCATTGCTCTTGGGATTGTGCATCAATGTGAATTTCAATTGTATCTCTTGATTGCTACATAATTCTTTTATTTTACTGTCTGAAAATTAGATACTCTTGTCGGTAATGATGACCATTGGTAGTTCATACCGATGGATGATATATGTCCATAAGAATGTCAGATGATGTTGGTCATGATCTTAGCCATTGGGGTTTTTTCGATCCATTTGTTAAAATAGTCGATCAGGACAGAGATTTACTTTTGTTGTCCCTTCCTAACTAGTAGGGGTCCTATGAGGTCAATTCCTCATACGGTAAAAGGTTAGGGACTACTAATAAGTTTTAGTTTGTTTGAAGTTTGAAGGTACATCGATGCAAATTCCTAGCATTGTTCACATCATTTTGAGATTTCATCGGTATCCTTTAGGAGCTTAGGAGAGAAATATCCTTACTAGAGGATTTAGTTGGGTAGTGTTCTACCCTCATAATGTTTGCCCATTCAATTGAGTGGATCGCTCGTAGGATTTCATCCTTCCCATCTTCCGTGACATACTTTAGGGAAGTTGAAGTGACCAATTTTCAAAGTATTTTTCCATTCATCAACAGGTAATGTACAGGTTTGATCCTTAGATTCCAATGATCTTTCATGTCTACATGACATTTCCTGTCGATAGAAATTGTAGAAGTGGATTAATCTACTTCCGACTGTTTGGATGTGTAAGTTCACAACCTAAGCCCTCAATGGTCAGTTGGTGTAGGATCATGTATCATTGATTTTGGAAGCTATTTTCTTTGGAAATAAAGTTAGTGAATTGGCGCTCATCCCTCGGGATGTGTTTGATTTGAAGCACTCTTGTTTGCTTATCTTCGCTTCAAACTTAATCAAGTATTTTAGCATGGTCTAATCATGTGTCTTGAATAACCAATTGATTGCTTAATCACGGGTTGTGAGTTGGATCTAATGAGAAGAGGACAATATGAATCTTGGACTAACGATTTGGGCATCATATAATGCTTGATTATTTGTTGCATCAAAATTGAGTCTAACGGAATGGCTCAGAAGCTAACTGATTGAACTTTTTAGAATCATTCCTACTCCCTTTTGTGCGATTCTTGATGCTCTGCCCAAATAAAGTGTCCAGGCTCTGTCTAGTTTCACGTTGTTTTGCTCTTCCAACAATCCTTTGGAAAAGTTAGCTAAGAAGTCACAATGACTTAGTCTTTAATAATTGTCTTGGGAGTGGTACCGGATGTCGAATTCGTTGAGTTCTACTACCTAGTTTAACAATCTCTCGAAGTGGCTTGATTTGAACAATATTGATTTCAAGGGATGGTCTGTTACCACATGGATGACAAGAATCTCGAAATACAGTTGTCCTCATTGAAATGATGAGTGCTAATGCCAATTTCTCCATGATCATGTATCGTTGTTCGGCTCCTTGGAGTACCTTGCTAACTTAATTAGATCAAGAATTTCCAGTTGTTCTCTTCTCTGATAAGGACTGAGCTGATTGCTTTCTTAACTACACCTAAATAGGTGTATAGTTCTTCAGCAGGCAAACATATGCAACAGATAAAGTGATGATAGTAAGCTCTCGAGCTATATAATTGCTTGCTTGCACTCTTGAGTCCAAGTGAAATGACTGGTACTTTTGATGTTCTTGAAGTATGACGGGCAACAATCTTTTGATTTTGATATAAAGCTATTGAGGCCTGCTTTTCGCTTCATTAGGACTTATATCCTTTTGAGGATTTTTTGGAGGAAACATGCTTAGTATGGCCTATTTGGATTTGTTTTGATCCCTTAGAGAGTAAGTAAGTGTTCGAGAAATTTTTCCAAGGCAGCTTTGAAGGTGCATTTCAAAAATTTGAGCCTGAGCTTGAACATTCTCAAAATGTCGAAAGTTTTGTTCAGGTCTATCTGTGTTGTTGGAGTCTTTTGTGTTTTACTAGTAATTCATTGATATAGACTTCAATATTCTTGTCTTTTTATTAAAAAAAAATGATGTTCAACAACCTTTAATTGGTTTCTTCTACGTTCTTTAAGCTGGAGGGTAATACGTAGGATGCTTCATGATAGTTGGAGAAGGCATCCAAAAAGCTCATGATGGGATATCCCAAAATAGAGTCAATGATTACAAAGATACGTGAGAGAGGATGGCTACCCTTGGGTCAAGCTACGTTTAGATTGGTAAAACTCACATACATTTTTCATTTATTATTCACTTTGTTCACTATAACCACGTTGGACAGCCACTCTGGATATTGAACTTTCCGTATGAACCCAACATCCAACAACTTCAAGGTTTCTCGATGGATGGGTTTAGCCAACTTTCTGGTTATGAGATGCATCTTTTGTTTGAGTTGCCTGCATTCTAGCCTGACGTTCAGGTGATGACAAGTGATCGCCAATATCAACCCTAGGCATTTCAACAGGACTCTAGGTGAAGACATCATGGTTATCTCTAAGGGAACATATGAGATGATCTCAATGCTCCTTAGTAAAGTGCCTGTTGAATGTGGCCGCTAAAGCTCACACTTAGCGACACAATAAAGTGCCTGTTGAAGGCAACATCAATCAACCCACACTAATGAGAGTAGTCCAGGTTACTGGAGTCGTTCCAGGAATCTTTGAGCTTGAATCAGAGCCACATGGGCATCAATAAATTTAAGTCACGTATATCCATAATTTCTTGTTAACAGTGAGTGATGAAGCTGCTCAGGGTTTCATCAAGCTTCTAACATATCCTTAAGAGCGCTTGTGAGCTTTTTGGTAGCCTATTTGCACTGGCAAAATGGGCCACAAAAATTTGTTTAAACACACATAAAGACATCATAGCTCATGAAAAAAAAAGATTGAACCGTCGTAGGGTTGATTCCCTTGCCGTCATGAAAATAAAAAAAATTACAATGCATTGTATATTCTGAGCAGGTAGATGATTGATTCGAAGGATGCTAGGTGGCTTGTAGATTCAAACTTACCATTGTAAGTCTCCAACGATGTGGTCTTGAACTTCTTCGGTTCCTCTGCTTCCGAGATTTCCCTTGAGAAGGGACCTTCTATTGTTGTTTGCCTTCCCCTTTTTCTTCTTTCTTCTTCATCATAATAGTTGGGAGAAAGCTTTTGTCCGATTATTAATTCTTCTTTAACTTCTTCAGCATGGTATTCAGAGAATAGTCTTCTTCTTCTTATGATTTCCTCCATAAAATCCAACATAAAACTTTCCCCTTTTGAATGATCTACATCTTTCCTAAGTAATCTTGCTTGTTCAAACATCAGGCCAAGAGTCATTCTTTCTCTAGCACTTGGTAAATCTTGAGTTCGTGGGTCTTGCCCTGGCCTTCTCGGCCTTCGTAGCCCCTACCTTGTCCCTCCTTATTGTGGTACTCCTTTCTGTGGTACTCCTTGTCGAGGCACTCCTTCTATTTGCAGGGGATCTTGCATTCTGGCTCTCGAGTGAGTCCCTAACACTTCCCTCATGTCGTACATTTTTGTCCTCATCAAGTCTTTCAACTCGTTGATTTTATGAAATTACGAACACTCTAGCACAACCCATGTCCTTTCTAGAATGTTCCTCTTGTGACTGGAATTGATGTTATAAAGCTTGCGTATGAACTATAACCTTGTCACCCCTTTCAGGATGTTGAATCTATCTTAGAAAGTAAAGTCCCATATTCTTGCCAATACATACATCATGGTGAAAGATCTAGTATTGTAGAGGAGAAATCATATATAGATAGAGGAAGATATGGGGCAAAATTTAAAGAGGGAACCTTAAGAAATGTGTTAAACTCTTATCTCCTATCAATTAGAGGAATGTGGCTCATCCGAGATTCCCTAAGTCCCAAGATTTCAGAGAGACAAAAAAAAAGAGATTGTGTGTGTGTGTGTGTGTGTGTGAGAGAGAGAGAGAGAGAGAGAGAGAGAGAGAGCCATTTCCTTCCTTTTTCCTCACTTTTTATACATAAGGGAAAAATTCATAAAATAATTAATGTAATACATCTTGTAAAGTACGAGACCTTCCTCTGATGTCATTGAAGAAAATACCATATTGTGGGTGTCAGGTGTTGTCGGTACAATACTAGTTCGTGGTGTTTGGGTGAAGAGATTGTCCCAAGTGTCGGGCGACACCATTAATAAGGAGTTAACAGATGTCCTTACTAGTCATTATAGCCTCTTTGATAGCTGCCCTTGCACAGGTGGGCTAGGTTGCCTTTTTGGAAAGAATAAACATAATTGGATCAACATGTAAGTTTGATTTAGCCACTTTGGCAGGGGGGCTTCGATTCAGTCTATTCGACATATGGGTTTTGGTTCAACCACTTTAGTAAGTGGGTTGATTTCTGCAAGAAAAAATAAGAAATTTATGGTATACCGATACCTGCATATACGTCTGAATTCCCGATACACACACAAGATGCATGCATGCATGCATAAATGTATCATTTGAGTTACATAAAAGAATGTGAGTTATAGCAATGCTTTTCTATCAACACAAGTGAGATTCATAATGAGGCATTAAATAAACCTATCATCATTAGTTTATTATGTCATAAGTTTGTTTGATATAAGCTTCTAGTTTAATTTATTTTTGAGTTGCAACAAGCCATTTCAAAGGCATTCATACCAAAACCACATATTTACTTCAAAATTTGATAGTTTCTTAAAGCAATTAGCTCTTTTTTATTTATTTTGCTTGATACTTCCATTTAGAAATTGTTTAAAAAAATAAAAATTTTATTTTGATCAATTTGATATGAAATTATTAATATTTTAAGAATTTTGACAAAGCTATGATGCATGAAATTTGTGCTGACATGTTATTATTTTTAAACATATGATAAATACGAAATTTGGTATTATTCTAAAAAATATGCTTTCATATTTTAAGCAACTAAATGAGCCCTTGGCAAAGCTATGATGCATGAAATTTTTGCTGACATGTTATTATTTTTAAGCATATGATAAATATGAAATTTGGTATTATTCTAAAAACCATGCTTTCATATTTTAAGCAACTAAATGAGCCCTTGTAAAATATTTCTTCTAATTCCAGTTACAAATGAATCATTTACTAAATAGTCTGATAATATATTTAAAATTTGAAATTTGGCTTTAAATAGCATCACTCGCGTAATGCTCTCAACTCAACTGGACATTCTCCCAAACACTTTCCCTATATATATTACATACATATATACATCCATATTTCTATGAAGAAAGTTTCAGGACATTTGAACAAATTTAACCGTATGCAAAGTTTTGAACCCATAGTTAAAAGAAAGAAAGACAACAGCAGATAAATTATTGCAGATCACGGTGATCTGCAGTCATGATGTATTTCGGTTGGCCCCACTTAAATTTTTTTTTTTAAAAAAAAAATTAAATACATTCTCACCGTAGATCACCGTGATCTACGGACAACAAATTATTGCATATGAACACCGCATGCAGAGATGCATGCGGTGTCCGATCCTGACCGTAGATCGTATGTCCGTATGCAATAATTTTTTTGATAAAGTTTTCATTTTTATATATCAAGAAGATAAAATAAATGAAAATATCATGATGTATTTCAATTGGCCCCACTTAAAATTTTTTTTTTAAAAAAAAAATCGAAATACATTCTCACCGTAGATCACCGTGATCTACGGTCAGAATCGGACACCGCATACATCCGTATGCAATAATTTTTTTGATAAAGTTTCATTCTTATATATCAAGAAGATAAAATAAATGAAAATATCAGTAAAAATAAAAAGGAGACAACTTTAACCTTCTGCAAAAGTAAAAGTTTTTGAAATTTTTTCAACAGATTTATTGTTGGTATCACAAAGAATTTATACAATTTATTGGTACTGCTAGGTTTATCGTTATTACACTTGAAGCTTCCAGTTCACAGAAAAGGTAACCGCATATGCTTTCACTTGTACAAGTTGGCAATCTCTACACTGTACCGATCAATAACTTTTTCCCTTCTCACTTTCAATGTGGGCGTCAATAATCCATTCTCAATCTGAATTCAGAAAGATAAAAATTACAGTTCTGACCGTCAACTGATGAAGATAATTTCAATGAAATGGAAGCAGAATATATTTTACCGTGAAGGGCTCATCTACAATCATTATAGGCCCGATATTGAAGGAGCAATCTTTAGTCCTTCGATGATGCAAACAAACCAACAAAAGAAAAAAATAAACTCGTCAGTTTTAGATACCATAACTCAAATACGTCAGTTAATTTACATAATCCATATATATATATATATATACATTTTTTTTTTTGAGAAGGTGAGTGGGCACGAAATATCGATTTCCCTAAAGGGTTGAAAACTCTGGTGTGCTTGCTCCTGATTTGAAGAGCCCGTGCCACGAGATTCGAACCCCCGACCCGAGGGACTTACGCCAGAGGCCGCACCAACGAGACACGTCATTTGCGCGCGAGCGCTTGCACACACACACAATAGGAAGAAAACAAGCAAGCAGAATAATTTTGTTCATAGCTTTTGAGATTAATTCATGGTGTTCCAAATCACGTCATTATAAATTTCAAGGTTAAGAGTGTGATTAACAGATTATCACACGTCATTTGCGCGCGAGCGCTTGCACACACGCACACACACACAATAGGAAGAAAACAAGCAAGCAGAATAATTTTGTTCATAGCTTTTGAGATTAATTCATGGTGTTCCAAATCACGTCATTATAAATTTCAAGGTTAAGAGTGTGATTAACAGATTATCAGCATTATAATCATAGAATAGTTAATTAATTTTCGCTATCATCTAAAGCATTAAACCTAAGATTACGGAAAGTAAGAAGGGATGACGGCTCGCAACACACAGGGCAAATTGGAGGAACAGAAGAATTAATTAAAATTGGGGCAAATATAACATTGTAGATTTCAAAAATAAATATTTTGATTTAATGTTTAATAAACATTAATAATAATTCATTAAATAATGTAAGATTTAAAAAATAGAGGACTATATGAATTGAGAGATTTGAAGGGATCATGGATTGAGCAAAAGAAGAAAGCAAAGTAAGCTGAAGGATTTAAAAATTGAAGGCTTTATAAAAAAGTGAAATTTTGAAAGATCAAAAGTAATTGTTTAAAATTGACATCTTAAATTTTATGATTAGGTGAAATTGATGTTTAGTTAAAAATAGAAATTATAGAAAAAAAAAAGACAATGAAACTTGGCAGAAAAAAATTAGCAGAATAATTAAGATATGAATTTATACTACTGATTTTAAATAAGAATAGATTAGTTTTGATAGAGTATATAAATATATACACATACCTTTATTAAAGATAGTGTACAAATGCAACTATCAAATAAGTTTTAAAAATAATAGATAGATAAAATGAATTATAAATAAGAATAATTGTAAATTATTTAAGTACAGTTTTTTTAATTATATGCTAATCAACATGTCCAATTGTAGAATAAAGTGGGACTGAAGTGAAGCAAGCAAACAACAGAAAAAGAACATCAACAAATTTCATCAAGATGTTATTTTATAAAGTGAAACTAGGAGAGTAATTACTATTCTACCTATACTAAATTCAATTCTTTTATCATTGTGGAATGATTTGCAAAGATTAGATCAAAATAATATAAACAAAAATTAAAATGAATGTTAATATTTTAAAAATATTTCATATATTATATTCACATTGAAAATTTACTGTATGTTTTAATAATTGAAATAGATAAAATAAAATTAACATACAATTCAATCAAAAGTTATCCTCGTATGATACTAATTGGGGACACAATTGTATCTGTGCATGAAAATAGAAATTAAAAAAAAAAAACTTGAAAAATAAATGAGATAAAAAGAAAAGAAAATGGATGTATTAATTGTTTATAAATAAATATATAATTACATAAATTTTTAATAGGTCAGTTCAAAAGGAAATTGCTATCTCAACAATTGTAATTAGTAGAAAATAGCTCCATTCCGATGAGACAGCAAAAACTTACAAGCTGGTGAGTCAATGTAGAAGGAAGAAGGAAGAAAAATTGAAGATGGAGGAGTTGAAGGGGCAACCAAGGACATGCCAAAGGAGTGTCGTGCGAGAGAAGGGAGAAGTGAAGGTTGAAGCCTCATGTGTGAAGACCGAAACAAACTCTAGGCTTTGACTTTGAGTGTGACAGAGAAGGGAAAGGGAAGAAGGTTTCGAACTCCTTGAGGGATCGACACATGTCATTTGCACGAAGGACAAAAGGAGAGGAAAGCTTTCACCTTGTCTGAACAGAAGAAGGGAGTTGCGCCACTTGAAAGAGGCTCGATCACCTCCTATGCAAAGGAGAAGAGAAGGGGAGGATTAGCAGGTCGTGTGGTAGAATAGATCGAATTGAGATTTTAAAAAGGTAAAATTAGGGTTAGGATTTAGTTTTTTTTATTTTTGTACTTTTTTTATACATATTTAATTGATTTAAACTTACAATGCGGGATTACACTCATTGAACCAGAAAAAGATACTGAAATTTAACAAACACAAAAAAAAGAACAAATAATATTATTGGATTCAAAGTCTAAAATTACAACAAACAACAAAAAATATGAAATTGCAACAGAACAAGAGCAAAACATGACACTAGAACTAAGGTTGGATTTAGAGTATAGGTGGTGCCGAGGGGGCTATTTAATAGCAGTTGAAGGCATTCAACAAGGTGCCAGCAAACTGAAAAGTGAAAAACCAACACGATGAAAAGATAAATGCAAGGAAATTGTTGAATGGAAACAACGTTGGGTTGGGCGTGGAACAATATAATAGTTACTTTTTTGGGTGGTGGTAGTTAGAGGAAAGCAATGAGGGTGAAAGGAAGCGATGCGGGAGAGAGTGAGGGAAGGGTAAAAGGGTATACACACCACCGTAGGAACGAGATACTGCTGGAGAGCCACTCAGAACCCTTAGATACAACCCTAGAAAGGGAAAAAAGAAGCCAACAACTCTACAAACTCAAATTAATAAGAAATTCAAACCCAAAACGTCAAAGAAACACTTTAATCGACCTACTACAATCATGAGTGGGCCCACTTCAATTGTGCATAAACCCTAGGCTTAGAGAGGGCCGATCTACGTTCCCACAACCAAGACCAAACCGATCCAGGGTCCTACCCAATGCACGCATTGGGAAGTGTAAAAGAAAGGCTATTCTGATTCAGATTGAGGATTGTACAATAAAGGAGGTGATAGCTAGGTAAGAATTATGGATTTATTTATTTGACGTAATCATTTAAATAGAAAATTATTAATAATAAGGTTATGTTTTGAACCAAGCAACTTTGTAAGAGAGTTCGAGCAAGATAGACGTGAAGAAATCCATTGAATTTAGAATTTACTTTTTATTTAATTACTTAAAAGGATTTTTCAATTTTAAAACATTTAATTGTTATTAAAAATATAAATCAAGATTTATAAGCAGAAGAACATTCTGATTTGAGGAAGAAGAAAGTTGCTACATTAATAAGGATAGGGTGAAAGGAATCGATGAGGGAGAGAGTGAGGGAAGGGTAAAAGGAACGAGATACAGCTCGAGCGCCACTCAGAACCCTTAGATACAGCCCTAGAAAGGGAAAAAAGAAGCCAACAACTCTAAAAACTCAAATTAATAAGATAATTAAATCCGAAACGTCAAAGAAACACTTAAGTAGACCTAGTAGTATTATGAGTGGGCCCCACTCCAACTGCACGGAAACCCTATGCATAGAGAGACTGATCTAACTTTCCACAACCAGGACCAAACTGATCCAGCGTCTTGCCCAACGCCCGCATCGAGAAGTGTAAAAGAAAGGCTATTCAAATCCAAATTGAGGATTGTACAATAAAGGAGGTGATAACTAGATAAGAATTATGGGTTTATTTATTTGAGGTACTCATTTAATTAGAAAAACAATCAATAATAAGGTTATGTTTTGAACCAAGTGACTTTGTATGCGAGTTCGAGCAAGATAGAGGTGAATGAATCCATTGAATAAAGAAAAAGTTAGAATTTACTTTTTATTTAATTACTTAAATGGATTTTTGTAATTTTATAACATTTAATTGTTATTAAAAATATAAATCAAGATTTATAGTCAGAAGAACAATCCGATCTGAGGAAGAAGAAAGTTGCTACATTAATAAGGACATATTTGTGCATGTTAAAGACAAAAGAAAATGAAAATGGTTATACCTTCATAACATAAAATAGAAAAAATGGAAATGATTTTGCTTTTATGGTATAAGATAAAAATAATTTTGATGGTGCTCCTGAGACGCCTGAGACAGCTTCTTAATGAAAAAGGAAATGAAAAGTAATTTTGATGGTGCTCCTGAGACAGCTTCTTAATGAAAAAGGAAATGAAAAACATAATTATTAAAAAGATAAAAATAATATTGATTACGATGATTTAAAAAGAATTTTATAAAAAAAAAAATGTAAAGTTTACTTTTTAGATTGACAATCATATTTCTTTGAGCAATCCTGTTAGGCATTTGCATAAAGATTTAATGTGAAATGATAATTATTCACTAAATTGCTCTTAAACTTAATCTATTGTTGAACTATTTTTTCTTGAAAAGGTCTACTAAAATGAGATGACTGATAGGAGGAAATTTGTTTACAAGAGGAGCAACTAGTAAAAATAGGTAGTAATTTGCTTAATTTATATGTTTTATCACTTTTATTATATTGTTTGTCTGTGTCAAATTAGATGATCACATGTGTGATGTTGAAGGATGTTTTACTTATTTATTGTAGATTAGTGGCTCTTCTATATTTGAGTGTTATTGTGAACTAATGTTACTCTTTAGAAATATTTATTTTTACCGCCCAACTGTCCGTTCTCATCTTGGTTTACTCTAAGTTCTCGGGTTGGGTCGTGACATAATTGATAGAATATTTTAGACGGTACTCCTAAAGACTTCTTAAATTTAAAAAATTGTTAAAAAATTATGATAAAATAAATTTTAATGTTTAATAAATTTTAAATAGCATGCATGTTAGAACATTCGCATAAAATATAGTATATATTAGAACTTAAATTATTCACCAAGTTGCTTTATAATTTAATCTGTTATTTAACTTCTTATTACACGAAAAATTCCTTTGAGTTAAAAGACTGACAAGAGACAATATGCTTAAAGGAAAAGAAGAGCTAATAAAAATAGGTACCAAGAAAATATTGTATCTAGTATTATGTTTCTTTACTAAATTTATTATTGCAAACTAGATATTTTTGTGTTTAGATGATATTTTAAAAATCTTCTGATTTAATAGCTTTTTATTGTTTGAATGATTGTTAAGAATTGTTGTAAATATTATATTAGTATAATTCTATTATCAGATCGTTCTATCATGTCTTGAAAATTCCAAATTTCCCAGATGGACCATGACAAACTGGTCAAATCATAACCAAGATTTTGGTAACTAAAGGTGAATGAATGCGATTAGTTAAGCAAGGCAAACATGAAAAAAAATATTTTCACAGGGCGTTGACCAAGATCATTACTGAAACATACATCATGTAAGAAAATTAATTTAACTTCACCACAGCGAGGTTTAGGTGGACCTTCAAATTGTCGATTAATTGTTAAATAAGGAACTAAACCAGGTTGGACAATCCAAGAGCAAGTTAGCAATATCTAGTAAGGCAGAGAGGAAACTCTTAACAATATGCACACAAATAAAAGCCTCAAATGCTTTCCCATATTAAATAAAAGGAGGATAATTAAAGAACTTTTGATTGGAAGAAGACTCCAACAAGTCATTTCAAAACTTAATGTTCCATTATCAATCAAACATTGCACCTTGAAGAATAAAATTGCAACATTAAATGTAGTTGAAAAGCATCCTTACCAGTTTCTTACTTCGTCATGTAACAGGCCTAGCATTTTGTCCTTGCTGAGATCAGGATTCTCATCATTGACTAACAAAAGATTTTTAGCTGACGCTAAAACCTCATCCATATTTGGGACAACAAGAGCTCCAAGCCTACGTTGATCCTACAATACAATAGAATTAAATATTGAGGGGTAGAGATCAATACTTCATCTGACAGGATGCAATTAAAGAACTATTTTAGTTGAACACAGAAAGTGATAAAAATAAAATAAATTAATTAACAATAATAAATGTTGATCAATTAAAAACAAAAATCAACAACTCAACCAGCTATTAGCACGCCTTAAGAATGATTGCAGAGAGAATAAATGTTGAACATAGAGAGCAAAAGAATTTGATATACTCAAGGGAGTAAAATTCAAAAACAGGAGTAAAGAAGGACGCTAAATGATACGTGTTCTATACATTTTTGGACGACAATCTGGTGTCATCTATATAGCACTGACAATTCTCAAAATGTGTTGTCCTCGCATCGAACACATATCAGATACCCACACTTATCTGATTATCCGACATTATAAAATATGTGCCTGAATTTTTTTGAACACTAACATGTTAAGGACACTCCTCAATACCGCATTGAACATTCCAACACAATTGGAAAAAAAAAAGAAACACCGGAAGTAAAAAGAATTTATAAATATATGTATAAACTTAATTCTACCTCATAGTCGAAGTCACCTCCTCTCTCGTCACGTTAAAGCTCCCTCTAACATTAGTCAAAGGCGAGCATCAAAGATGCATCATGCATCAAATATTCATCGAAGCCAAGCATAAGTAGTTCTCTCTTCGTTTGTAAGAGTAGAGTGTCAAAGAACCATCCTGCATTCGTCGAACCCGAGTGTTGTTGACGTGGGGCTGAGCCAGCTAAACAGGCTCAACCCAATTCAGATAAGGGGAAAGCAGGGCCGATCAGCCCTTATTGATGGGTTCGGGTTGCCGCCATAGGGGAGGAGTCTTCCCCTTCTAGTTATCTATCATAAATATGTTTTACTCCTTTATTAAGTTTTCTGTCGGGCTAGCCACCAAAATCTCAAGTTCTTCCTTCTAGGTTGTATCTCATTCTGAGGTAAGTTATTATGCTCGACATTTCATCCTTTGCAACCTTCCATTTGCTGCCGCCGCCAATGTAATTGCTGCAACCATCCTAAGTACAACACCTTTATTGTTCCTGCAGTCGTAACAACCTCCCCTATCTCCTAGTCATCCTAGCTTCCACTCTACCCGCAGCTTCCAACCGCCAATAAGCCATGAACCTTTCGTAGCTTTTCTGCGGCCTACTTTCAGTCCCATGACATCCACAACTCCCTCACCACCCAGCCTTCGTTTCGTAAGTTCCCTGCTCCCTGTTGTCTCCCACTGCACGTAACTCCTTCCCCACCATTTTCCCTATCACGACCAACTTTCACTTACCCTTATCTGCTACCCCACGACCACCTTTCACGCCCCCTCCTACAACCGGCCTCCCCACTTCCAATCCACCGAACCAGCCACCACCTTGACCTAAGCCGTAGTTTGGGTTTGTGTTGTGTTTAGTTATTTCCTAGTTCCGAGTGTGTAAGTTGTACTTCTATTTGATTTTAGTAACAAAAGTTATATTTCCGATGTCATTGAAGTTAACTTTTGAATTAATTGTAGTTCTCTTTTGTTCATCGAAGTTGAACCTACACAAACTAAAATGAAATCCATAATCTTCTTTGTCGCAAGCTGAGCAGGAGTCAAAACTATTTCCTGAAGCCAATCCAAACACCCCTCGAACTTTGCGATGCTTGCACTGAAGCTTCTCTTCGTTGAAGCCAAGTGGAGTCGAAGCCTCCGTAGATTTGTAAGTGATAATATATTGTTGACCTCACTTTTGGCGAAGGTGTAGTTTTTCTCCTCTTTAATAGCCTAAGGTCTAGCCATAGGACTTCCTTGTCAACTACTCCTAGAAAACTAGCAAAGGAGCCCTCCCCGTTAGAAATTCTGAGCTTTTCTTCGTTTGACTTGACGTTCCGCATGGTAGTTTTGACTGCTATTACTTAGTAGGTAAGGCTACTGTGGAGAAACTCAAGGAGCATCCTATAGAACTGTTGGCCTTAGGATTGACTGTACGCGTTGATCTGACGCAGTCATGCTCTTCGCCGTGCCGTCCTGTTTGATTGAGCTCGAGCCGAGTTTTTGACGTCGACGCACCCGGAATGTCGATTTTGCTTAGGGGGACGTTCGTTTCACTATGACGACACGTCTGGGAAAAAAATACACATTTAAGTGTTAATTATAATAAGAAATAATATTTTATTATTATTATTATTATAATTAATAACTTGTATTAATCTCTAACCTAATTTTATTTTTCTCCCCCTCCCCTCTTCTGTGTCTCGATCCTGTGGGGCCCTAAATTGGCTTGTTCGGTTGCCTGGCCCGCTCCTTCGTGCCGTTGGAGAGATTCGTTCCCGCGTTCGCCCCTCGCCCTCTCGCAGACGCCCATCCGTCGTATCCTATCTTCTGCATTCTGAGTTCGATCTTCTCTGCCGCGGATCGTATCCTCTGCGAGGATCTAATCCTCTGCCTCTCTCGATCTCTTGAGTCATATGCGATCTCTTAATCATTCCTTTTCCTTTTCTGGTCTATATGAGGCTTTCGTTTGGTGCGTTTCAAGTGGGCCGAAAATTTCTGAGAGGGAGGGAAAACTCTGCCAAATTTATTTCTCACCTTTTTCTCTAGTTGTTGGAAGTTCTTGGTGCTTGGATTGGCTTCCTCTTGCTGTTGGAGAGGAGTTTAGGCTGTGAAGTATTTTCTTAACTTTTTACTTTAGTTATGCATTAAAGAGGTACTTCTCCCCCTCCTCTGTGCATTGCTTTTTTTCGATTTCTCTCGGCCAAGCTGCTGGGAATAGTTTTTCTTTGGATTGTACAGCATGCTAGTCTAATATACTTTATGTATTTTGTGATATTCACCATTCAAGAATATGAAAGTAGGTTTTTGAGCATGTTCTAGGAGTTAGTCCTGATTATTTGCTATAATCAATGAAAATATAATATGTTATTGGATGCCTTCTTTTTGCTTGAAGTATTTGAAAGTATTATGGATGTAGCTTTGAAACGAGATTTGCTCCTCTGAAATACATGTCGGAATGCATCATAAAGCTTTTTATTTCTATCACTCTTGCTTAAAATGAATACTAGAGAGCCCGCTTTTCTTTTCATATATATGTGGGGCTCGGTTTTAGCTTCTGTGGTTACCTCATTTGTTCGAAATCTATATGGAGTATGAAAAGATTTATTTTGAAAGTCCCTCGGAACTTATTTTGAAGGCTTGGTGTTTGATTTATCACTGCTCTTTTTTGTTCAAGTATTGGTTGAGAAAAAAAGAATTTTTGGAGGCCTTGAAATGTTAACTTTGAGGTTTATGCATGCTTCTCTACTTCACGTTATTCTTCTCATATGAAACACATGTTGAGGTGGATTTGTTTTAGCCACCGGATGGCACGGTTTTTGGCCTTTGTTGGGCTCGATTTTTAGCCTCTATTGGGGCTCGGTTTTGGCTCCCTGTGGCTTTTCCTTACTCGAAATACATGTTATGAGAAAATTTATTTAATTTGGAAAGCCCTATAACTTGTTTTGATGGCTTGGTTTAGCTCCTCGTGAGACATCCTTTTGCTCAAATATCTGTTGTAAACTATTTCATGCTTGGAATAGTTAGGTTTGTGGCCCGAATGTGTTCTCTATGTTGTTGTTCTTGTTTAAGATGTATAATGGCTCCATAAATTGATGTTTCAAAGGCATGTGGGTTATTGTTTGGCTTTGAATGACTCGGTTTTACCTTGAGGTGGCTGGAGTTTTAATTTCCGTTAAAGCTCGGGTTTTAATCTATGCTCGGGCCCTGTTTTGGCCTTGAATGGCTCGATTCTGCTTGCTTTGGCCGTTACCCGAGAGCTTGTTGAGGGGTTGTTCTGTGCTTTTCTGGGTCCTTCTCTGGCTCCTACCTGAGAGCTTGTGATGGAGTTTGTTCAGACCTTTTCTTGGTCTTACTCGTGAGCCTGTTGGTGCGTCATTTGGGATTGCTTGGCTCTTCTTGTTGGGCTTTATTATCTTGAATTTTGTTGATGTGAATTTTGTTGATGAATCAAGTTTTTGTCATCCAAAAATTAAAATCATTTTATTTATCCTCTTATGTATGTTGAAAGGGCATAGTAGCCACAGGTGGTTCTTTTGGTTGCCTCGGCCGTGAGCCTTAACAGCTCCCCCTTTCCTTTTTGGTTGCCTTAGCCGTGCCTTAGTGCCTTAGCCGTGAGTCTTACCTGTTGTTCCTTGAGTTGCCTTTGGTCGTGGGCCTTAGCAGCTGTTCCTTGCTGCCCTGAACCGTGAGCCTTAGTAGTTGGCTCCCTTGAGGGTTGTCTTGGCCGAGAGCCTTAGCTGCTATTCATCTTTTTGTATTGAGCTTGGCTGTGAGCATTTATGTGGTTTTAGCCATATGTTTTTATGCTTATTTAACATATGAAGCGTCCACGTATAGCCTTTTTCTATACGTGAAACCATCAAGCAAGGTCGCAAGTAGTTTGGTTTTATTTTGGGGCTTAGGGCGGTGATGACAAAGGCACACCGGAGATAGAGCAAAATGATATGTCATCCTACGACATCGGGATCCGATTCAGGAACCTATCAGGATCCGATTCAGGAACCCGGTGAGCTATAGGATGACAGTATCATTCACTGACATAAGACTAGTGAGAGTTGATCCGAACCTTCTTAGGTGTTGGTGGCCCTACGCCCAACAGCGCGATCGACTCGTGGACAACTACTTTTCAAAATTGATAACAAACAAATTTGATAAGAATAGATACACCATTTTTTTCTAAAACAAAAATATATTTTTCGCTACAAATAAAATTGATACAATCCCTTTTGTATGCTTGAAACTTATGTGCATGCTAAAAATATAAATTTTAAATACATTTTAAACATTGGTTGTCCATCTGTTGATTACCTGTTTGGGCTAAGGAGTACCCTCCTGAGTTAGGTTCGATAGGACACCTTTCTAGTTGAGTGGCGGGCTTTATACATCCGGGTAACCGAGTAGCCTTCGACGACCCTCGAGTACTAATATATAGTTGAGCCTAGCCTCGACCCGAGTGCTTGCGGTCCCCTCTTTTCAGACTTTTTCATATGTTTTCTTGGAATTTTTGGACAAAGTACTCGTGGTCTCTTTTCGGGATTTTCCTGTGTTTTTCTACAATTTTCATCAATTTGTCGATTCGTCGATTTCCTCACATTTTTCTTGTCGTGAGTCTTTTGACGATTTTTCCCGAGATTTCGGGACGACGTTTCTTTGTTTTCATTTATATAAAGCATTTCAACCCGCTTCCTCAAATTTTGTTGCTTGTGTCTGTCGCATCAATTACACCTAAGGAACTGCAGATCTACCAGGAATACAAGTTTGCTTTCTGTTTACAGCATATTACTTTCTTGCAAATCACCTACCTACTGTACTTCTTACTTTTCCGTTACACCGCATGTTGTACTGTTCTCTTTACTGCATACTCTACTGTTTGTCCTGTACTACATACTCTACTGTTATATTATACACTGTGCAACTTCAACATGTTTCCTATAAAATGTTTGAAGAACTATAACCATAGGGCCGCTGGATTTGACATCATAACCTGACACCCTAGAAAACTTGAACTCATCACGACAAGAAGTTTGGAGCTAGCACGGTGGACAGCACGACCATCCTCAACATCAGAAACATCAGAACATGTCTTCCTCAGCTAAATCATTCATTCCTTAGAATTAAACAACAATCCATAGGATTTCGAGGTCGTTCGTGTGGTGCGACATGTGGTGCGACATAAATCATCCTCAACTTTTCTTTTAGACATTTGTACAGTTCTACTGTGCAATCTAAACACTAACTCGTTTTAGGATTCCGAGGTTGTCGTTCATCACGACCTAAATCATCATATCTTCCAGACTGTTTGTGTGATCGTTTCATACGAATGTAAGCCCTAATTAGAATGAAACACTTAAATAATTTCTCCTCGAAACTGAAGTCAAACCATAGGGTAGACTGGGATGTCACCGAGGTTCTCCTTCGGATCTGTGACATCTCCTAGTCTTCCTCCTTTAGATTCTACAATAAATATTCCAAGTTTTAACCATTCTCCTTTACAGAACTCTTTGTCCGATTTCGTTGAAAAGTCCTATCTTTTTGACCTCCTTGAAGATACTTTTTCCTGATTTTTATTGAGAGTATTCTTAGGTGACTACGGTTGTCTAAGATGTAATTAACTATAGGAGCTTGCCCTTATAGGAAGCTTTTCTGAACCCAACTCAAAATAAACCCTATTTAATTTTTCATATTAAATAGGGGAATTTGTCGGCAAATAAAATGGTTTCGCAGGCCAAACGAACGTCATATATTTCTTAGTTTATCACACACACCACACACACACACACACACACACACACACACACACACACACACACACACACACACACACACACACACACACACACACACACACACACACACACACACACACACACACACACACACACACACACACACACACACACATTTATATATAATAAGTTAAAAGTTATTTAAATCTATATATTTATTGGAATTCGAAAAATTAAATTTTAACTTAATTAACTAAACAAGGTGTAATCGTAATATATTTCAAATTTTAATAGATAAATTAAGGAAATTCTTTTGAAACATATTATATATATTTAATTTTAAAAATTAATTTTATAAACATGAAGTACCATAATACAAGTTAAAGTTTATTCTTGCAAACTTAGTTTTGTGATGTCTTTAATAAATAATAATAGAAAAAAATATTTTATATTAATAGTTATTTAAATATTAAATGTGTCCCTGACACGTTGTGTCCTATTTCTTTCAATTACATCGTGTCCCTGTTTTTGTGTTTGTTCTTCATGAAGTGTCATGGATCTATCACGTTACCAACTAAAGGACAGTGATTTCTTATACCAACCGTATCAGGATTTGGTTCTGTAGACTTACAACTTGATGCAGGGATTAAGGGATAAGTTTCTAAAATGATACATGGGATACTTATAAGTAATGGAAAATTAAAATTTTGTATATCGCAAGTGGTCAATTTCTTCAATAACTCTGTTTCATTTGAAGGAAGACAGGCGATACTAGAAATCTAGCCTAAATGATAAGGAAATATGGCAAATATTTGAAAATTTTCAGGAAGAATTTGAAAGCAAGTAAAATCACTAAGCAAATAAAAGAAATATCCACAATAAGTTTTATGACGTGTCAATTTTGATAAAAAAAAAAACAATGACACTAGATTAACCAATAACAATTTATGTAGACAAAATAGAGCAAGGAACAGAATTATCAACAAATTATGTAGATAATAAAATAGAGCAAGGAACAGAACTATCAAATAAGAAAGGACTCGTACCAATGCTATATTATTTTTCCCAGCATCAATTAGTTTTACTTTATTAACCTTACTTTGGGTACCTCAGTTATCCTAGTTCAGATTTTAATTTCCAATTCTTTGTCTTAGAATGAACCAACTAAATTACTAGACTTTTAATCCCTATAGGGCCCTGGTGGACACTCCCAAGAACAGTCCTTCCCTGGCTTAAAGTCCTCTCAAGCTCCTAGCCCTAGTCCAATTCTTCAGGGTGTCCATTTTGTCTCAGCAGGTTGTTGGCCGTTGGTCCCGAGAGAACACTTCCTGATGGCCTCATGCATAACCATCTTGATGCATCACTGGCGCCTCTTCCAGAGAAGGCCACCTGTCGGTGACTAATCTCAATAATTCATTCTTCTTGACGACTTGCTATAGTCAATACTTCATTTGGGTGTCGTCTTTTTTGAATGAGCCACCTCGCTTGGTAATTTGTCCTGAGCAATCGCCTCAACCTGCATGGTCATTCACTGTCAGGATTGCTCTTTTGGCCAAATCTAAAAAAAGTCAAACCTCACTACCACTTTGCTTCCAAGTTAACTAGGTTCTACACCTTGGACATCTCACTTTAAATTTCAAAGGATTATGGTAGCCTTTTCCATATAAAAAAGTCGTTGATATTGGAATTTAGTAAGCATTCAATGGAAAATAAATATTATTGCTGAATTCAAAATATGAAATTACAATAAAACAACATGAAAATCTGAAATTGCAACAAAACAATACACAACACTAGAACTTGGGTTTGATCTAGGGTGGCAGTGGTGCCGGCTAGAGATTTGGATCTACTGGTAGGTGGCAAAAGCCTAGCACGTTGTAGGGTGGCGCAGCAAGGGAGAAGGGGTGAGTAGCAAGGATAGCGGCAGGGGTGCTGTCTTGAGCGGCGACATCAATTTTGGATGAGAAAAACAGCAGGTCAGTAACGGCAACAATCGGGGAGTGGTTAGGGTGAAGGGAATGGGTGCAGAAGAGAGTGGGGGATGGGTAGAAGGAGATATACACCACCTCGGGAACAAGATAAAACCGGAGCACCACTTAGAACCATCGGATATAGCCCTAGAAATGGGAAAAGAAGACACCGACAGCTGTCCCGAAACAAATCATACCAAAAAATAAACCCTAAATACCAAGAAAGCACAAATTTAGCCCTAGATAACTAGGAGTGGGCTCCACTCCAATTGGTCGGCACTCCCGAGACAATTAGAGGACCGGTTGGCCCTCAGAAACCGTGGACTAAATTGGTCCAAGTACAGACACCTGCATAAGTCTCCCGAGGTTGGGGGAGCTTCAACCTCATTCGTCAAAACTTTTGTCTCCTCATAGTATGGAGTTACGTCGGTCATGTTAAAAGTAGTAGAATTGTTGTAATCAACAGGGATTGGAGAGCCTTCGATTGCGTCTCTAAAAACACCTAGATCCCACTGTTGGATGCAATGTCCCACAAAACACCTAAGAAGGTTTCCACAATTACCAACAAGATTACTGGATAAAGTTAAGTCGACTACTTCCATTAATTAAGTACATCAAGGTCCTTCTCAAGAATATAGAACTGAGATTTAAATCCAGTTTGCAATCATTCACTTCCTCATTATAAACTAATAGTATATCCATTCTTACAATCCCCATTATTGCTACTAAAGCGAAATAGTATAGAGCCCACTAATTAGCCTTAATTATCTCTTCTAATCAAAACAGGTGATTAATTATAGGGAGTTGCACTTATGGGAAACCTCAAATCAAATAAGTCCTTATAAGAGGGTATAATTGATAGCTATTGCCTTAGCTTAAAATCTGATCTGCCATATTAAACATCAACTCAGAATCACTTGAAAAAATATATTTTTTGACAAAGCCATGCCAATATTTTCAGAATCAACAGAGATCTTCATTACCCAAGATTATAACAAACAAAAATAAAAAAGGAAAAATCCAGTACCAAGTTGGAATCCATATCCTTGATAATTACAAACGATTTAAATGGTGATCTATAGAAATTATATCAATTGCAAATATACAAAAATGTTAGAAAAAACAAATAAAAAATTATATCTTGATACTATGAACAGGTTAACGGATTAATGTGTCTCAGAAAAGGAAGTGCAGTGAGATTTTGTTAGAGCACCTGACCAATGACCACAATATGTTGAATCAAGTTACTCCTCATCACAGCTTCCTCAAGTTCTGAGGGTGGGTTCAACATTTTCACCTACCTATACAATCAAACAAAAGTCATAACAATCTACTTTAAACTATGATAATCATGAACAAAATGGAAACAAGAGAACAGTAAAAACAAGATTACTTATTTATTAGATGTGACAACTCTGCTAATAGTTAATACTAACCAGAGAAAGTGCGTATCCTTCACCAATTATATAAGAACAATTCAATATGAAGGATACCAAGCAATTTCACATATATTATAAGTCTCTTGCATGTATTTTTAAGTCAAACGATCTATGTGAGTTCATCCTCATACATAAATGGATATAAAGTTATAAATGTGCAATTTGATGAATGGAATCATGATAAAAAAAATAGATTTAAAAGTGCAAGGCTTAAAATCATACACAAACAAAGTATATGGAAAGGCGAATATCCATTCATTATTTTTAAGAAAGCCAAACTATATACATTGAATTTTCTATCTTATTGCATTCAATTATAAGATCAAAACCATTTAAGTTGATTTACAACGTAAAATTGTGGGCTTGGGTTAAATTTTTAGAATATAAATTAGATTTTAGATAGAACATCACCCAAAGATTTTGCCCTAATTTTTTAAATATTTTAATATCTAATTTTAAGTTTTCTATTGGTGAAGTCCCTGTGGTTATTATCTTTCCCATCAGCAAAAGAGTTTGATTAATGCTGGTTGCAAAATGCTAAATGTTTAGCATACAGAAGCAGCAAAGTGGGTTTAAATATAAGGAAATTTACCATTTTTTTGCTAAGAGAGGAAATTGGGGGCAATAATGATGAACCAAATTAAGATCCCATTGTAAAATAGTCTTGGGTTGTCGTTGACCATGGTCTGCATAGCAAGAGGAGGAAGTCAAACCAACTTAACAAAAAGATTCTTGTCAGTAGCTATGAATTGCATCGTCCAAAATTATCTTAAAAACTTGAGATAGATGTTTATTTAGGAGATAATTTTAAGTTCAGCTTAGCTAATAAAGGATTTTGTACTCTATCAAGTGAAGTTTATAGTTCATCGATTAGTAGATTTAGACCATTACAAATTATAGGACTTATTTGTAATCATAATGTAATAATGGTGTGCTAATTTGCTACTACCGAATTAGATAGAGCAGACAATCATAATTATACTTTTTGTGGTATAGTCGGCATGAAAATTTATGGGTTAGAGAACACGTCAACCTTTTTTGTTGGTGTGATATCTTTTTGAGAGTGACTATAGAAGACACTTGATATTGATTCTTTGTGACTTAACATCAATCTTAAATTTGTTATTCACGACTAACCATTGTGATGGGGAAGATCAATTTTTCTCTTAAACAGCAAGTTTTACATTAATATTTTTAAAAACTATATAAATTTCTCAAGAATTAATATTTTTTATCTTGACTTGAGCTCAAAATAATGTTTTAGGATTCAAGAGTATTTTTGAAACTAGGATATTTTTTGGTTGAGATTTACTTATAACATGCCCTTCTTCAAAGCATTTATTATTATATTATTTTTATTTACAAATTAGAAGCTTGATTTTGAAAATATAAACCTTCAGTTAAAATTATTTATCTAAGTGGCCATCATAGGGGAGCTTACTTTTGTATTATTTGCATTACAATTTGAAAGATTGCTTTTTAAAAATAGATCCTTTCGGTTGAGATTTCTTGTCAATGCAATTATCATTAGGGTGGCTTTGCTTTGTCATTTTAGATATTGTTAACACTCTTTGTTTGGTTATCAAGAATTAAGTCCATATCTAAGGTTTGTCGGGCTCAGATACCATATGATATCATTCTAGGACTCCCAGAAGGTATTTAGGAAGTGAGTTTGGTGGGGAGTTAGTTGTGAAATGGCAAGGGTGAAATAATATGTGAATTTGACGGAATTTGGAAGGGTATAGAAGGCGGAACCTGCTGTTGGACAGCAGGTTTAATGAATTCATCAGCTGTCCCTACTCAAAGCAGCGGTCAAACAATGAATCAGCATAGAGGATCCATCACGTATTTCTGAGCAAGTTACAGACACACCAATTGCAAAAAAAAAGCATAAATCAAAGAGAAATCCCTCAAAGTTCATAAACTACAGCATGTATAGAAATTCCCTAATAGAAAATACCTAATTGGAAAATAGGAAAATAGGAAACTAAGAAGAAACGACACAAAAGGAGTAAGCTTGCTGAAAGAAAGGTAAATAAATCAAAAAGGATTAACGGGGCCCGTTAATCTTGTGATCACGAGACGGAACCATGGTATCATGGGAGCTGAACCTCAAGCATACGGTTCCATGTCGATCGCGTCTCTGGTCTGTGACTCTCGTATCTTGCAACAACATTATTTAAAATAATAAGACTTCGCACATCAAATATGTTAATAATATTCAAAGTGAAAAGTTAATTACTTCCAAAACAGTAACTTTCTTAAATGGAGCAGTTTCAACCCATTTGAAAGATTACTCGGTCGCTGATAGGATAAAATAGTGACTTTTCTACAATGGTAGATTAATAAGTTCAATTATATTTAAAATTTAAAATTCAATGACCAGTAAACTATTGATAAGTGTAATGGACTTGCTGGTTGATGTAACATGTCGCCATAGATTTGAAACTTATGACATCGATTGACACTATCAATACAATCTTTCACCACTGACGGTTAGTAGTACTACTTCTTTTCATTTTAATTATCATTATGGGAACTTAATTGGTGCTCACTGTAAAGTTTTTCATGAACTTCAACAATAAACTTATCAGCCATACAATTATCTATGCATCATAGCCACAATTGAACAAAGGTTGCTAGAAGGTGTCGTTGACAAAGCATTCAGTAAAGCTCGCCTGATTTTGCACGGATATCAATATATTTTAGGATAATCTCCTGACTATGAATTAATTGACAAAAAGGCTCCAAACGGCTTGCTCATATATCATGAAGATTTCCTTAACATTCAAAGGACAATATTGATAAGCGTAATGGATTTGCTGGTTCATGTAACATGTCATCAAGGATTTGACACTTATGACATCAGTTAACACTATCAATGCAATCATTCACCGTTGAAAAAAAGGTTTCAAACAACTTGCTCTTACATCAAGAAGATTTCCTTAACATTTAAATGACCAGGATGCTATTGATAAGTGTAATGGATTTGCTGTTTGATGTAACATGTCATCATGGATTTGACCATCAATGCAATCTTTCACCATTGACGGTTACTATTACTCATTCTTTTAATTTTAATTATCATTTTGGGACCTTAATCGGTGCGCCCTGTAAAGTCTTTCATGAACTTCAGCAATAAAATTATCAGCCATACAAGTATCTATGCATCATAGCCACCAATTTAACCAATTGAAGGCCTTCAGTAGAGCTCACCTAGTTTTGCACAGATATCAATATATTTTAGGATAATCTGCCGTCTTTGAATTAATTGACAAAAAGGCTCCAAACGACTTGCTGTTATATCATGAAGATTTGCTGTTTACATTTTGGAACTTCCTCACGCTTACTGAGGGCCCTGAGGCTCTGTTTCTTAACTGAGGGCTGGCTTGTAACGAAAAGTGAAAAGACAGCTGAGGGGGGTCGCAAGCTGGCTTGAAATTGGAGACCCCAGTTCAAATGGGGATTATAAATATTCATTCATTTTAATGTTCAGGTTTAGTTGGGAAATAAAGAAAAACAAAAGAAGCAGCGGATCACGTGTCTCAACAATCAGGCATTTAGCAAAGGCTAACTACCATTGCAGTATCCAACAAAGCTGCGCTCATGAAAGAATCTAAGGATAATGATGTTTAAAGTTAGGTCTGAAAATCTGAACTACGAGCATTTTGGGCAAAGTAGTTTATATTTTGCCACCAAGTAACAAGATTCTTGTCAGTTTGACATAAGAATAAAGAAAAAAAGTTTAATGAACCCACTACATCCTAGTGATAGAATAATAGATACCTATGGATGCTTCAAGAAAGTTTCTGAGTTAAATGCAGAGATGATTGCCATCTATAATATATAAGATCAGCCCACAATCCTTTAATTTGAAAAAGGAACAAAAATAAATTGTTAAATTCATCTTCGAAAGATAAATGTAAACATTACACCTGTGCTGAGAACAATTGTATCCTTTGCACGTCCTTCAATAACAAGCATGCCTCCACATTGACGGCTAATCCCAGCAGAATGTTTGGGCACAATCCAACCTATATCACCGCTGTTAAACCATCCGTCTTTATCGATGGCTTCACCCGTAGCAGATGCATTCTATCAGAAGTTGAAGGTATAAAGATTACAAGTTCACAGACAAAGATTCCAAAAGCACAAAATAAAAGACGACATAAAGTATAGTCTGCCATGATCAGGGAAAAAATTTGCGTACATAAGACGTACGCAGCGATACATGCGTCCTCCAACGGGCTATTGACAAATCAGCACAGTCGGTCCCACCGCATTCATTCAGACGCGACCCGTCGACCCGGCCCGCTCGATTATAACCGAGTTATAACTGAGAGGTACAGGATTTATAACCGAGAGGGCCATTACCGCGGTACCGCTCGGATAACAGGCTTGTAACAGTAACCTCAAAACGAATGAACCGTGTTTATAACCTCGCTGTAACGAACATAACATAGAGTCGTGTAACCGAGAAAAATAAACGAGCTATAACTGATTTCAGCGAGGGTTCGCCCGTCTACCTCGCTGAAATCCTCGTGAGGTTCTGCAACGAGGATTAGTTTGGAGGTTCGGATTCAGCGAGGACTTCGACTTTGAGGAGTCAAACGAGGAATTCTTTAGAGGAGTTCGACACGGGAAGCAATTCGACGAAGGAACGTGAATGAGCTATGACTTCGACGGATCGTGACAGAGGAACAAGATCAGTTCCACCAGGGTTTCTTCAATGAAACGAGAGTCACTACAGGAAAAATCTTTGGAATGACTAATTTCAAATGGCAATTTCTGGTGCAAAACTCAAGGTGGTGAAGTTTGATGAAGCTGATAACTTTGGATTATGACAAACAAATGTGAAAGATTTGTTGGCACAACAGAGAATTTTGAAGGCTTTGCGAGCAACAAAACCAAATGTCATGAAGGATGAAGATTGAGAAGAATTGCAACAACGAGCAGCAGCAACCATACGTTTATGTCTGATAGATGAGGTTATGTATTACGTAATGATTCTTAAATATCCAGGGGAGGTATGAAAGAAATTGAAAACTCAATTTATGTCCAAGGCATCGTTTGGGGCAGCTTAAAAGTGTGGCGGCGTTTTGGACAACGCCGCCTTAGTGTATGGTAAATAGGTTTTCAGTGCGGTTTTAAAACCCGTGTTTCACTGTTTAGCCAGACTATTTTCCTTTGCTGCCCTCGCGCTGCTCTCGGTTGCCCTATTCTTCGCTCAAGCGACCGTGCCCTAGCTACCCGAGAAGAAGGCGTAAAGTGGTAAAAGAAATCGTGCATCATCTCCTTCCTCTTTTCTTTTTTGCATTTTCGTGCGATCGTGCCCTGCTCTTCTTCTTCTTTGTGTATTCGGTTGCCCCATTATTTGCTCGACTGATCGTGCCCTAGCTACCTGAGAAGAAGGGGTATAGTGGTAAAACAAATTCGTGCACCCTCATCTCCTTCCTCTTCTTCTTCTTCTTCTTTGCCTTTTTCAGGGTTTCTCCTCTCTCATCTTGTCCTCCCTCACTGTGTATTTTTTCATGCGGGACTTTATATGGGGTTTCATCGCAATTCTGGTGTGATACAACTATTTCTAATTCATGATTACTGTTAGATCCATACGAAAGAACACCATTTACTTTTTTTTTAGTAAGGAGCAGTTCTTTTAGGGTTTTGTGGTGTAGATCTTTAAGTTTTTGAGAAATATGCTCCCACATTTGATCCATAATAATGCCAGAAAATACAATAATTGTGGTTAGCAGTTTCAGTTCTTATAGGGTTTTGAAATTCGGTACTGGTCTTAGCAGTTTCATTTCAATTATTTTTGTTTAATGCAAATCAAAATGAGTGGTCCTTGTATATAATGAGTGGTCCTTGTATATACCCTTGTATATATAAATCAAGTTTCTTTTCCATTTATCTCTCATTGCTGCAACAGTGAGTCATCTGCAGGCAAGTAGATCTCTTTGGTGTATTGAGATGCTGATATAACTTACAAATTGGTTGCAAAAATATAATGGAAAAATTCCATCTTTCCGTATTTTAGTGCCACCATGTTATTATTGTTATTATTATTAAGGTATAAGTATAACAATATTGCATTGTATGAGGTGTTGTTAGGGAGGCATTAGGCTATGGAAGATTTGCAGCAAGCTGATGATGTTTGTCAGTTCGATGATGCTATGGTTGTTCAATGAAGTATCCTATGGTTGTTCTGCGTTGTGTAACTTGTTGTTTTTTATTATAAGGTTTTAACAAAGAAATGTGACAAATAGAGTGGATCTAGAGATGAGGAGGTAACTTTAGTTTCTATGTGAGGGGCCTAATTTATTTATGTACTGCAAATGGTCCTATAATGTTGAAAAAACGTAGATTAATGCTGATTTTGTATCAATGGGCTAAATTTTGATATGAATGAGGATTCTTAATTTGAATTTGAGATCATATTGGTGTTTGCTAGCTTATGTTGTAGCCAAATGTTGCTATAAAATACAAAGTTCTTGTATTGCAGCTGATTGTCCTTAGTTATATCAATTTTTTGTGTATTGCAGTTGATTGTCCTAAACTGGTACGAAAAATCTACAGTTATATCAATTTTTTTAATTTTAAAAAAGCATGCAATACTTGTTGTGAATATGTGATTGTATTACATACATGTCATCTTACCATCCGTTCATGTCACAGTAAAAAATGAGTAAATCTAAAGAGTCCGGATCATCAACTATGTGGGATAGAGAGGCTACTAATATTTTTTGTGATCTATGTCTGAGGGAGGTCGAATTGGGAAATTGACCCACTACTTATTTTAATAAAGAAGATTGGCAGAATCTCACGACTAAATTTAAGGAAATAACTGGAAGGGATTACGATCAGAAAAAAGCTTGCATATCCGTGGCATTTTTGTTATTTAGTCAAAAAGAAGGTTGCATATCTGTGTTTACAGTCATGTCTGAGTGTTTGCATTTAAGAAAGCTTAATGGTCGAAGTGCATGAATTAGATATTGATGAAATTATTTGTTGGGATTAGATCTTGCTGGAATTAAAAGTTTTGGAGAAAATGTTCTTGAATGTATTTCCTGCTGTTGGAGGTTGTGTTTCCTTCTATAGTTTTTTGTTTGCTTATCTGAAATCACGACATTTGGAAGAAGCTCCATTCTTGTAAGAGAGAAATTGATGCAATTTACTTATCCCAATATAATTCATCATAGGTATTTGTCTAACTGCCTTTACAATTTGTATTGTTGGTGGCCAAACAATGTCTTATCAAAAATTTGATTTCCAAATTTACTTTTTGGTGCTTGTCTAGCTGCCTTCTCTTATTTTAGGTGGTGTTACATAGAGTATTGGAAATGAAGTAGTGTTTATCTGCATTTATTTTTAATCCGAGGAAGTTAGATTTCCTATTAACCGAGCTTGAAATTGCTCTCAAAATTTCAGCTCTTGCAATAATTCTGCATTCAATGTTTTTAATATGTGTAATATTTCTACTCTTTGTTTTAAATGATGCCATAAATTGCTGCTCTCAGATTGGTCTGAGTTATTATAATGGTAATTGAAGGAGTGCTATGATTTATGTGTTGGTTGAGTTCAGTTATTCCAAGATCTACAACCTTTCTTACCCCAGTATTTTATAACCTAGATTGTTACAATTGGATGATGAGAACTATTTTTTATTGTGGACTATATTAGTATGACCAAGTCTTTTCCAATACCTTTGCATTTCTTGCCTTGATTCGAAGATGCACATTTGGATTTTTTTTCATGTATAAGGATTTCTATGTTAGTTGAAAGGAGATGCAGTTTTTTCCCTATCACATCAAGATGAAAATGAGCACATCTTTTGGGTCATAATATTATTGTTATGCGACTGAGGCTCATTTTGATGCTATGGCTTTCATTACATGGTTTATGGCTATACATATATGGAGAATTCTCATTTATGCAGATCTGAAATGGCTTGAATGTAGTTCCTGCTGTTATAGGTTGTGTTTGCCTCTGTAATTTTTGTTTGCTTCAGTAATTTCTGTTTGCTCATTGTGTATAGTGGTAATATTTGTCCTTTTAACTTGTCAAAACATTGGATGGTCATAATATTCTTGTTATGCAGCTGAGGCTCATTTTGATGCTATGGCTTTCATTACATGGTTTGTGGATATGCATATATAAAGAATTCTCATTTCGTGGTATCCTTTTCTTAGGCTTTTATTATTATATGTTTTTTACTTTAATCTCCAAAAGAAATGCAGCTAAAAGGTCATATTATGACAAGTAATTATATTTATCATAGTTTTGGGATGCTTTCAGTTTTTTTAGGCAACCACTGCTTTTATTATCTGTTAAAGGGATGCTTTTAGATTTGGAAGGCAGCCATCGTGTTAAAGTAACTGTTGGTACATGGCACATGTTTCTCAAATTCTGAAAATGTGTGAGTTATATGTAATCTTTCATATCTCACTTGTTATGTGAGTTATTCAGAACTTTGTGGTGGCTCTTCTTCATGGACCATTACTCTTGACCTTTTTGTGAGTGCAATTAGTATGTTGCTTCCTATTTTTTTGCGTAAAATTTAACTGTATATTGTGATGGAAAGCTTCTAGATGTAAACCTTTATTTATCTATGCCTTTTAGTGGGATAGGCAAGCATTTTCCATGGGATGGAATGAAAATGAGGTGCAGCAGGTAACTAAAATCAATGAGATGCATTTTTGTTATTGATTCATTGATGTGCTTTAGATTGAGGGCAAGCATTGTTGAGTCAATGAGAATTCATTAGAATTGTGTGGTAATGTATATGAAACCTTTATGTGATAAATATCAATTGCCTCAAACTTCTGTAGTAAACTATGGCTACGATATATTGAAATATAATTAGTTTCGTCTGGGTAATTTTGGATCAAACTATATTCATACGTTCTGGATTAAACTTGACATTTATGGAAAATCTCTATATCGAGAATTTTGAAGCATGAAATTAAAATTTTGTAAACTTCTCAGTTCAATTGTATATCAAACATTCTGGGAATTATTATCTGGATCCTATATTGTATGGATCCTGTATTGATAAATCTGGTTGTGGTATACTGAAGTATTATATGGTTGT